CTTTTGTATATTTTTATTATACACTTTTTACACTTTCACACTCAAAAGGGTTTGCTCTTTTGTTTAAAAAATTTTTTTTTTATTTTATAAAAATAAAAAAAATAATAATAATAATAATTATAACAATGATAATGATAATAATAATGATAGTGGTGGTGATAATAGTAAAAACGGCGGCGACGATATAGATGTGCCTCCGTTATGTATATCACCTTCAGCACCTTCATTTCCGTCGTCATCATCAACGGAAGAACATTTTCATAAACTGGGTTATCGATTCACTGATCCAAGACTAATAGCACGTCTAATGTCTGAACAAATTCAAGTGAGACCGGGCGAAATGCTATGTTTTTTAGAAAAAATGTTCGTTTATTCCGATTCGGGTTTAAATTGCTTACTTGAGCCCGATCGAATTTACACTGGACTGTTTGTTCTGCAAAAAAACACCCCAAGGTTCACAAGTTTTGGTAATGGAAAATTCTAGACATCAAATTCCAATGGCTAAATTATCTAATATATGCAATTCTTTAAATAAATTTGAGTTAGATTATCTGAAAAGAAAAAATGGAATGAGATTAACTGATATGCTAAGTCAATTGGGTCAAACGTTTTTTGGTGGTGCTTATAGTCCAACGCTCGTACCTAGCGACAATAGCGACAATCATAGTCTTCGTAATAGCATTTATAGCAACAACAGTGTTAATACTAACCCGAAAAGATTGGATTTAGATAGTCTCAGATATGATTTAGCACAATCATTACATCAATTAATACATTTAATAAACGAAGAAAATCTTTATTCGAACGCGATATTATATCCTGAAGTATTTACAATTCCAATATCAACACCGTCATCTTCATCAAAAGCGTCAACAATATCATCATCATCATCATCATCATCATCATCATCATCATCATCATCATCATCACAAAATAAATTTGCAAAATTAATATTATTCAAATTACTTTTACCAAAAGACGCAAAATATAAATTAAATAGAGGCGAGGTGAAGTTCATACCATATAGTTTATTTAAAAATTATCAAGAAATTCTTTATTATAATTCTCCAGTAGAAATGCAAAATTGGAAAAATCAAGTTAATAATGAATTTGGTGAACTTTTAATTAAATTAGAGAACAGTAGGAGTAATGATAATAGTAGAAGAAATAGTAAAATTGATAGTTCTAATAAATTTGATTTTAATAACATTGAAATGTTAGTAGAAGAAAGTAAAACTGTTGAAGAAATCACTGATAATGAACTTGGCGCCGATGATGATAGAATAAATAAAGAAAATTATTTAAACTCTTCAATTACAATATCTACTTGGAATAAAGAAGAAAGATGGTTTGAGTCAGTTGCAAAATCTTTAGATGATAATGAAAAAGAAATTGAAATTTAGAAATTTATTAAACTTATTAAACTTGTCGATTACAATTAATCTTAATATTACGTATAAAAAAAATTAATATACGATTAGCAAAAAATAATTTGTAAATAAATATTAGAATTATAAAAAGGTTAAATTTTGCAAATGTTTTTTAAGTTCTCTTGTTCTCTTGTATGTAAATAAAAAATTAAAGTTTGCAAAAATCCTTCTCTACTAATTTATACACTTCATACTCTGCCAACAAGTGAACATTTTTAATCATGTTTTGAATATTCAAATTACGTTGATAAGAATTGTCAGCATCGTTATTAAATATACAATAAGGCTTCTTGTTATTGCTTATGCATAGTTGTAGATCAAGAAAATTTAGTATTATTTCATGAAATTTTACGCCATCTTTTTTTAAACTAATCTTTTGGCGATCATGAAATATTGCTCGCTGAGGATTTATGACTTTGCTTAATTTTGAATCGTTTATTAGTTTGTCGTCAACTTTAGAAATGAATCTTGATAGCGAACCAAACATTTGACGATCTATCTCAAATATAAAACTTTTATCAGTGTTAATAAAATATTGGTCATTTAGACTTTTTTCTTTTTTATTCCAACAAACCGGATTATAACAACCAATTAGTTTGTTTGTTTCATGAATTCTCATGATCGCTAAAGTTTGTTCAATGTCATAACACTTCTCTTCAAAAATTGATCTTGAAAATCCATCTTCTGATCCACGAAGAATTAACTCAAAATCATAAGGCGAACTAGTTGAATTATATAATAGATCTTTAGTTAATTTATCGTCGATCCAGCTAGAAATCAATGATTTCATTTGTAAATTTAACAAATATCCTTTTCCTCTTGGTCCTTTTTGACACAAGGAAGTTGATAGCCGTTTATCGAGGTAATATTGATGAATTTTTTCATATAATATTGGGTCAAAAATTTCTTTATATGGCGTAACACTATAAAAAAAATCACTTGAAGTTATTTGATTAAATCTTATTAATGGAATAAAGTCTTGTAATATATTTTTAAATTTAACAAAATCATCATCATCCCATAATGAAACATCCTTTAACTCTAACTCTTCATCATTTGCTTGTCCTAATCCCCATTGAATAACATAACTCCAAATTTCAATTTCGTCCATTTCTAACGCATCTTTCTCCAACAAAGACTTAAACAACGATTTTTCAATATCAAGGAAATCATTAGATATTAAATATAGTTCTGGATAGCTCTCGTATAATTCATCACAATAAGCTTGAAGTAGTTTGAGTGACGGTCGATATTTTTCGAATGAAATATTATCCACATATACTAAATTCTGTTGAATCCATTCTTCTTTTTCAGTGATCAAGTAATTTTGTAAATCCTCGCTCAAATCATCAAGAGCTAATTCAGCACATGCTTCAATAAGTTTGAGAACCGAGCCTGCATCCATATCACCTAAGTCGATACTGATAGTTCCGTTGTAAATATATCTATTAAATAAACAAATAAATAAATAAATAAATAAATTAACTAATTGATTGAAAATAAGTGACTATATCAAACTTACGTCAAAAGAATTTCAAAACTTTGCGGGGAAATATTTTTCATCTCAAATAAATAAATGCCATTTGCAGTTTTTTTATTATTATTTGATAATGTCGTTTTAAAATATGAAGACCTTGCTTTCAAGATTGTGGAATGAACTTTAAAAGTTTTGATGTCTTCATCTTCCCCAATTATAATTTCCGTATCATGAAAGTCTGTTGATAACATTTCTGTCAAATCATTTACTAATTTATTAATATGTTTTAATGGTAAAGCATCTTTATCAGAGTTTAAAAGTTTTTTAAATAATTTATTGATATTTTCTAATGTTGAAAAACTTTGATTATCGTTACGCATTTTTGAAGGTTTTTTTTTTTTGAAGTTTTAAAATAACACAATAACTTAATTTATTTATATTTTTTTTATCTATAATGTGATTACTAATATAAATAGACCATACAATATGATTGTATACTTACGAATTCAGATAACAAACAAATTTGGATTATGAAAACTACATGCATTATCAAATAGTAAGATTAATTGTCAACGGATAAAATCCAACGAATTAACTTTGTATTAATTAGCACGATGTCGAATTATTATTATGCCGTGTAACTGTGTAAAATGAATTAAATGAAAAATATAATTTTATAAAAAATTGGGGAAACCCTTTTTTTACTAACGTTATACATACGTGTTCAAAATTTTTTTGTTTATTATGCATCTGTCTACTCTATTTGTTAAGAATCTATGTGTGTGTTTGTTATTTCAATTAACATTGAAAAATTAGCATTGTACCATTTTTTATCTTTAGATTTTCAAAAAGACTTTTTGATAATAAAGAAAACAATTATTATTATGAATTACCTTGTTTTTTTTAGTGTTGACCAAGTATCTTTATGCTTTCAAAGAGACATGTTGGCTTTTTTTTGATAATAAAGAAGAAATCAATTTAGTTTTTTAGTAACAACTAAATATTTTTACATTCTCAAAAAAGACATGTTGGCAATCCTGTAGCAATCAAGTATCTTTATATTTTCAAAACTTCACTTTTATCATCAACAGAAGGAACTTTTACTTGAAGTGAAGCAAATTAAATAGCAACTTTTACTTTATTAAAGAATAAAATTTTTATATTACATTTCTCAAATAAACTTTATTGTTGGGTGTCCAGAATATTGTTTAAATTTCCGCCATCAAGCAGTTGTCAATATCTGCGGGATTTTATTAGTATTAATTAATAAATTATATGGGAGTAAAACAAAATTATTTCACTTTTTTATATAGTAATTTCTTATTCTATTCTATTATGAATTATTTGTTTGTATTGCATATTTAAAAGAAAGACTTTATTAGGTAGATATAAATAAAAAATGGGACATTACGGAATATATTGACATCTTATTCATTTAAATATTTATCTATTAATATCTTTTTTTTATTTACAATATTTTAATGGGATGGAATAATCGTGTAATTTTCAATATGGTAGTAGCAGTATATTAATATAGTATAAGGTCTTCGTGTTACATTATGATACTATAACCAACCAAACAAAGTGACATGCATGCATATTAATATTAAATAAGTCATCTGTTTAATTTAACTTCCTATTTAAAAGTAATAAATAATTGTATATTGATATAATAATATCCAAATGGCCATAGCCATCTAATTTCAATGTTCAAAGGTATTTATTCTCTCAAAAGAATTTGTAAAAATTTAAAATATATTGATAATTGTTTTAGATTTGGATAAAGAGTATTTGATTGCTGATGTTGCCAAGTTGCCCCATAAATAATACCAACTGCTACAGCAACTTTAAAAAGCTTCCCATTAATTTGATTTTCATTTTCATTGTATGTAATAGCAAGTGTTTGTATAAATTTCACAACTGGATTTCTTTTGGAAAGCCATTCAGATGTAGAATATGTTAATAGGCTATCTAAACAAAACCTTTCCTGATTATCGATTAAATTAATGATATCATCATATTCATTAAGTGTAACCACACTTATCAAAATCAAGTGATTGACACATAATTTTTAAGGGATTTTTGTATGATTTGATAAGTGTAACCCCTTAAATTGCGAAGCAATTTCAACAATTGATTGCTGATCTTTGAAGCGGTCATTCGCAAATTGGTAATGATTTTCGTTGATCATATTTTGATTTTATCACGAAATTTGATTGGTCCGAATAAATCACACAAAAGTTTTAAAGAAAATTTTTATTTTTGAGAAAAGGAAAGCTATTATAAAAATATACAGTCGAACCTCGTTATAACGGATTTTTGTTATACCAAACAAACCTTTTCCCGATTTTTTTTTATTAAATAAAAAATTTTGTTATAACGAATTTATATGATAAACCTCGTTATTCCGTATAACGAACATTTATTAAAAATTTTTATATATTACTAGTCGCGTTATACCGAATTTTTTGATGAATACAGATCGTCTATACTAAAAATGTTCAAGTTGTATTTTTACAATACATTCATTGTTTGAAGACTGCATTATCATTCGATCTTTTTTCAACTATTTTTTATTTTTTTTTACAAAGGATACATTTGTTTGTATTTTTACTTGATCTTTTTGTTTTCCTTTTATTATTACAAGACATTCATCTGCAATTGCTCATTCGCCATATTTTATTTTATAGCTTCTATCCAAGATACTCTTTAAAGGTTTCAAATTATAACAATAATTAATAAAATAAAATTATTAAACAGTTAATAGAAATGTGGATGTTGCTTTTAACAATTATTTATTAAACACTTTGTCAAGTAAATAAAATGCCATTGATTTAATTGACAAAAATAGAGAAATGAAAAAAGGAATCTAAAAGTAAAAAAAAATCCATATTGTGTTTTTCTTTGAAGTGAATGGTTAGTTTATTTTAAAAACGTCAAATTGTTTTTCATTGATATTGAAGTTTGAGAATATAAATAAAGCTTAAATTTTTGTCATGAAATTTAAATTTTCTTATTGAAATAAAATCCCGTCTGTCCGTACACAAATCAAAATTATAATAATAATAAAAATAATAAAAATCCCGTCTGTCTGTACGCGAAACAAATTATTATAATAAAAATCCCGTCTGTCTGTACGTGAAACAAATTATAATAATAAAAATCCTGTCTATCCAAAAATACATACACAATATAAAATTAAACATTTTTTTAATAAAAGTTCATAAAAAAATTTCTAATGTCTCAACAAGGACAAAAAAAAACGCATCCACCTTTACTGCTGTACAAAAATTTGAAATTTATTCAATAAAACAAAGAGAACTGAATAAAAAAAATGTTGATTTGGCTAGAGAATTTGGAATCAGTACAGGATATAGATGGGTGTCTAAATTGTTTTTGGGATTGTCTAAAGTCAAAATAATATTTAGACAAAAATGTCTAAATGTCTAAATTAATATAAATAGTAATGATTTGCTTTAAATACAACTAAAAGTCACGTGTATATACACAAAATCCACAAAGTTCAGTAAATTATCCAATAAAAAATTCAATTTCAGCATTTTAGACAATTGAGACCATGATTGTCTGAATGTCTAAATTAATTTATATTTTAGACATTGTCTAAATAATTTAGTTTAGACACCCATCTATAGTACAGGACAAGTTAGTGATATCTTAAGAAGGTCTGACAAATGGCTTCATGTTGATCCAAATTTGTATCAAGCAACATTAAAAAAATTATGTCCCTCACCTTTAATAAATATTGAAGAGGCATTAATCTTGTGGATTGAAAAAGCTCTTGAATGTAATTTGACAATCACAGGTGCCATAATTCAACAAAAGGCCCTAGATTTTGCTGATTTGTTAAATCATCATAACTTTAAAGCATCTCAAGGGTGGCTTGAAAATTTTAAGCATAGATTCTCAATTCAAGCATTTAATAAACATGGAGAAGCCCAAAGTGCTCCAATAAGTGAGATTTCACAGATGAGAATAAATTTAAGAGGAGTCCTTCAACAGTATAGGTTGGAGGATGTCTTCGACTGTGATGAGACTGGTTTGTTCTGGAAAATGGAACCTAATTGTGGGCTATCAACTGGACCACTTCCAGGAACCAAAAAAAAATAAGGATATAGTTACAGTTCTTTTAACATGTAACTCAACTAGTACAGAAAAATTAATCCCCTTATTTATACACAGGCACCAAAACCCAAGACCATTGAGAGAAATAAATAAAAACTCATTACCAGTAGATTATTATTGGAATAACACAGCTTGGATGCAAGTCTCTATATGGAACAATTATCTCAAAAAATTAAATAAAAAAATGCAAGATGAAAATAGGAATATTATATTATTAGTTGATAATGCTCCAACACATACCTTAAAAGAGGGTACACAGGTAGACTCGATAAGTCGGTCCCTTGATAAGTCAGTTTTGGCCTAAGTCAGCCAAAATTTTTCAGCCCTTTTTTTCCCTATTTAAATCCCTTGATAAGTCAGCCGACCTATATAAAGTCGCGATAACTTATAAGTCAGCCAACCCCTCTTTTTAGGATAAGTAAATTGTTCTCGATAAGTCAGCCTCACGTGACATTTTCATTATATGGGGCATGCTGCAACAAAACCAGACAAAGTGAACATTGGTATTACCAAAGATTTCAGGGATCAAAACTCAGTTATTTATAATAATAATAATAATAATAATAATGATGATGATTGTGATTGTGTAATTGTAACATTTTTATAATGCCCCATTTTGTTACCATAATATCTGTTCATGTGATAGTTACTCAAATGTTTAATTTTTTTTTTTTTACTATTTTTGTAATAAAATTTTAATATAATCTTTTTAAATCCGAAAATTCTTAATTTGAAACCAGTATGTGCAATAGATATTATTAAAAAGTTTTCAATAATAACTGAGAATTAGTACCATATTAGAACAAATAGGCTGTACATACTTAAAAAGACACAAAAAAAAGTATGTGATTCTATTATGTTTAACATTTTCTATAAGACTTGCTCTAAATGAAAAAAATTATAATGTTAAATTTGTAAAATTTATAGCTTGTGACAACTATTGTGGTGACTTCCCATTCAAACAAAGCCATTCGCGTGCTTTTGTAAAGCTTTTGGATGTTTCCATACATGTTAAGTTATATTCATGAAGGATATTCTTGTTAGATTCACAGACAGACTACATGAAGAAAACAATATTAATACCAAATAATTTAAGGAGTCGTTTTAGAAAGAAAAAATATTACCTTGACAGTAAAAAGGAGACCAATAATGTCAGTATTCTTAATGAATGAAGTATATTTAAAAGGATATTTTACTTTCAGGATTCTTTCAACTGCAAATGTTTTGTCAGAAGCTAAGTTAACCCTAAATAGCTCACCTTCACTTTCTATCAATATTTTTAAATAAATATATGTGAAATATTCAATAAAAAACATACAAAAAAAAAAAAAACTTACTGTACACCACGTATGCAAGCACATAATACTGTGATACCAACTTTACGTCTCCATCTCCCATCCAGAATGTTCTACATATAGAATCCACACAATTGCGAAAGCATTTCAGAAGATCTTGACGATACTTACTACCCTTTGTTACTAGAGGTGGTCCAATGTTCTCGAATATAAAGAATTCTTGATTGTTATCATAATTGAAAAGAATTCCATCAGCTTTACGTGCTAAAGCACCAACACCATAAATTAATTCGCGACGCCATTTGGAGGATGGAACGTCATTTTCATTCCTGTTGGAATAAGTTATGTTATATTGGCATGTATAAAATCAAATTTGTCTTCTTCATTTAACCTACCATTGTGAAACAAACAGGCCCGGAAAGCATATTTTTAAAAATTCAAAATCTGGAGATATGACTGTTGATGTATATGTATTTTCATCCATTAATGATACATCAAGTTGATTATCATGTCCTGCTCTAAGCTGCAAGAGTTTATATTCGAACACTCGTTTTATAAGATCAAATTGATCGTCATTGAACCCTTCAATTTCTGTAGTAGCTAGAAGGTTTGATAATGTATCATTTATTTTACGCTAGAAGAAAATTTACAATTAATCAAATGAATAAAT